CAACTCTTCAGTTCTGATTTTGATGGTTTTACCATCTTTTGCATGTGTTTTGCAACAGTAACCGAACTTTGGAACCTACCAGAGTTTCCAAGCACTATATAAACCACTATGCTAGATTAAATTGCTCAAACACGCTACGTACTTCATGTCTAACGTGACGCGTGCCTCGTGCTCACAGCTCTCCCTAAGGGTGAGCAAAAATTCCGAGCACAATTAAAGAGCCAGTAATAACTAATTTCAATTCTCAAATTTTTGGAACCGAAACCGTTTAAATACCCGATTATGCTACATTTGTTACGCTAAATAAATTTTATAAAATAAATATATAAGTAATAAATGAAAATAGACCTAGATAAATATTATAATTTGTATTATATTCTAACAAATATATATCTAAGTGGATACTCGAAATTGGAACCGAAATCGATATCCAATGGTTCCAATTCCAAATCTTATATTTTAGGACTTGGTCCATATATCCTAGACATGAGTCACATGACTATATTTTCTTTAACCATAAATCAATAAAAGCTAGTCAAAATAGAGTATATAAATAGTATAAAAATCAAAGTGTTGCATTTAAAAAAGACGCATAGTAGTATTTTAAAAAAAAAAAAATAGTATAAAAATCAAAGTGTTGCATTTAAAAGAGATGCATAGTAGTATTTACAAAAAAAAAAAAAAAAACATAGTATAACAGATAAAGGACACAATACTCTTCAAATTAAACTTATTCATTAGGTAGCGTTTATTCCTTTCGTTGTTACATTATTAACCAAAGTAACCATGCATGACCCCTCAAACTAGAGGTCACGTCGCTCAAACTTTCTAGCCCAAATATGTTTACCTTTTGAACGAAACATAGCAAGATGTTTACCTCTCATAATTTGATACATGTAGGCAACACAACGTAGGCCCATTCGAGCATACAAAGATTGTACCTTTGATGAGTGATTATTAACCACTTCCATCTCAAAGCTCTCTATACAATTTCCACACATTTGTGTAAAAAATTGCATCACTTCCTATTGAGAAACCGGAAAACCTCGTGAAAATGTGAGGAATAGGGTCCTATCTTCAATTGGAGCTTCGAATTCTAATTTCCAACCCCATAACCCTTTACTAGGAACAATAGCATTTATAGGTACGATAAATATTTCAAGTGGACCGAAGGTACGATGAGGAAAACCGGGAACAAAAAGAGGACGGTTGAGGGTCAAATTAGAGGACATTTGCAAAACTTGCATTAAAATGTCAGTAAAAATCCAAGCACAAACATCATTTAGATAAGCTTTTACACAACTAATCGCGGTGAATTTCATGTCACATATTATTTTCAAGGATATTTCTTTGTCCATCATTCTTGACAAGAGATGAAGGCTACCATTATGAGTAGTTGGTGTCTTTGTTTTAAGACAATTGATGCACAAAACAACTTCATTGACTACATCATCAAGAAAGTTATCCGATAAATCCGCTAATTTGCTTATGATTTTGCAATGTTTTGCATCCTCTAGCCAAAACAACAAGGCCATAAGATGCTTGTATTTTCAAAGTAGTAACTAGCTTTGAAAAGAGAACACGATCAATGGAATGAAAGAGATTGAGTTCAAAAAGTGTGATAGAACCCATTGATTGGAGTGTATTAGAGTGGACAACTTGGGTATGTACACAACATAGTTTTTAAGCTAATTCAACTTTATAAGCATTTTCTTCATGCCAATTATCATAGGAGTTATGAGTTAAAAACTAAATAAAACTCAACTGATACATCACGTTTACTAACCAAATTAGAGTATGTAGCTAATGTCCACTGAATTTGGTAGAAAGAAAATTAATACTCCCTCCGTCTCTTAATTAGATGTCTACTTCTCTTTATTATGTAAGTAATAAATGCTAGAAATAGACATCTAATAAAGTGACGGAGGGAGACTTAATATAAACATGGACTAGCTTATTATGCCATTAAGCCAACAAGGGAGGACATTTAAGGCCATCTATAATCCCAGATAAGATAAAATCCTAAAATTAATTGGTAATTATTAGTGACTTAGTGTAAACTTATCAAACTTATTTGTTATACATCATCTTCTTCTTTTTGTTTTTTTTTTTTTTTTTTTGAAAGGTTATTCATCATCTTCTATACTCCTTTTTAACGTGAAACAATAATTAGTCACAAATCCTTTTTAATGTGAAACAATAATTAGTCACAAATCACATATGAGTTTTTAAGTTAACTCTATGTCACTGATATTATCTCTAAGCTAGTGAGTTTATTGAACAAGGTCATAAAAGGCATCCTCACATGTTTAATTTTATGTACCAATCACTTTGGTAAAGAAAGTTCATTAAAAAAAAAAAAGTCACAAAATTTGGCTGTAACTGACTTGTGTGAATTCATATCAATACAGATTATGTATTAAATGATAATTTAATACTCCCTCCGTTCCATAATTACAGTCAAATATACTATTTTGGGTGTCCTAAAATATTCCTCCTATTACTAAAAATAACACCCAATCATTACTTACTTTTTACCTTTTCCATACAAGTTACACACATACCAAAAAAATCATTACTTACTTTTTCACTTTTTCATACAAAATACACACATACCTAAAAAATCATTACCCACTTTTTAACTTTTCCATAAATATTCTCTACTTTTTATCAACATTCTTCACTTTTTAGCTTTTCCATACAATATTCCTCTACTTTTTCCATCCTCCTTAAAAACCGTACTTTTTAGAGTTATTTGCCTGTAATTATGGGACGGAGGGAGTACAATGTTAATCAAATTTTAAAAGTTCTTAATAGGTAAGGAAATGGATAATATCAAATTATTTTTTGGGTTAAAAGGTTCATGCACTACATATGGTTACAACTCATACATGGATAGAAATAAATGGAAACATAAAAATTCTAATAACTTTCCTTACATTTATCAGCATAATTATTTAATTAAATGCTAAAAGATTTTTATACAAAATAATACGAGTAAGGCCCGTTAACTTCACTTTATTTTTGTTGAACTGAAATTATTTTTGCGGAACTTAAATTATTTTTATTGAATTGAAATTAATTTTATTGAAACGATTTTTTTAAAAAACTAATTTTATGTTATATATCTTCTTTAAAATTACTAATTTAGACTAAACTGAAATTATTTAATTGAACTTATCCTTATTAAACTAAATTTACTTGTACTGAAATTAAGATGTCAAAACCACACCCGACTCGGCCCGATGCGAAACGGTCCAAAAAAAATTCAATTCATATTTCGTCTCACATGGACACAATATTTAGTATGCCTCAAGTTTGAAATATGACCCGACCGATCCGACGTAATCAAATCCGACCAAAACACTTGAATTAACACCTCTATCTCTAAGTAATAATAATGAACACTCCCTCCATTTTTAAATACCTGCTCCACTTTTCTTTTTCGACCATTTTTAAATACTTACTTCATTTCCTTACTTGAAAAGTTTTTACAATATTTAATTCATTTCTCTCACCTAGTGGATCTAACATAAATTATATTTTATTAATTTCATGTTATCTACGGTTAATTGTTCACTTGTAGATGCCTTCTGTATGTTGGCACAATCCCTCAGGAGAAGCTCCTCTTATAGAGTTTTTCTTTATTCTCATTTTTTGTTCTTGTAGATGCCTTCTGTATGTTGGCACAATCCCTCAGTAGAAGCTCCTCTTATAGAGTTTTTCTTTATTCTCAATTTTTGTTCATAATTACACTCCTCTCTTCTCTTATGCTATTTCCATCTCCTTTTTCCTAGCAAACCTATGCTACGTTTAGTTCACCTTATGTCAAAATTTAGTTAAAAACTTAAAACCAGATTACATCATAAAACCTTAAGTTGTAATTTGTAAACACACTGAAGATGCAAATTAACTAAACTGAAGATGCATAAATCATGTTTAGTCTAAAAATGATACAGAAGTTATGATATCTGTAAAAACTACCTAATTAATTTTCTATGGATTTTCCTCGTTTGAGGCAGATTAACTAAACTGAAGATGCATAAATCACGTGTGCATGAATATGTGATAGTGGAAAGTTACAAAGACCAATTTGAAAAAAAAAAAAAAAAAAAAAAAAAAAAAAAAAAAAAAAAAGAAGTTGGCTATGACTCAATTTTTAGCAATTTTTGATCCCTAAGTTGGACCATGTTCTTTTGAGTTTCTAGGCATAGCAGAGCATATTGAAGCAGAGCATAACAGAACAGATTAAGTATTATTTTTAAGCAGAGCAGCTCTAAAGTACGGGGCCTTGGTGATTCTATGACTAGGTGAATCTAGGCTAACAAATGTGTTATACTTAACATCTATTAGAATTTAGAATAAAATTATAATACGAAGTATATCACCTCTATTTTCAATAATTAATCTTTTAACATATTTGCACCAAAAACAAGAAAATTAAGTTTCAAGAGTGCAACAACATTTGTAAATAAAACTTTACCCTCAATTGGAGTCTAACGAGGTTCAAATCTGAATTAATTAGAGTTCAGCAAGCTTTGAATAATCGAGTCAACTTCATTCCCTCAAGAAAATACTTATATAAATCGATCTACTCTCGAATTATTATGTGTAAGCGTAGTTTGAACATTATATATAGAGGAAGAACAATACAAGCAAGTGTAACATGCATTTATAGGAATTAAGGTGACTTTGGAAATTGAAAGCATTTAAAGATAGGCATTTTCCCATCCTGAAGGAACTGAAAGACGATATTATGTCCGGGCTTGAGGCCGTTTGCAATCTGAAAATCTTTCCATCCTTGACCAATGTAGGATTGACCATTGCTTTTCTTGTACTTTAGCATCACTTTCCAAGCCTTTCCTTTCCCATCTATGAGCTTCATGTAACATTGTCTATTTAATAGACCGCTTGATTTTACGAAGCCCTTCGGAAGATACTACATTTAGAAACACTCGTATGTAAATGGTACAAAATTGATCAAAGTAGGAAGAATAATATGAAGTAGGAGGGTGAATTTGTACATACATGTGGCTAAATGCTTCATAATTAAGTAATTACTTGTATGTATCATCCCAATAACCTCTAATGTGGGATTTTGAACATTATGTTTTAACGGGGTTGTCGTGTTGGTTTTTTAAAATCTTATGTTGATACAATATAATACACAAGGTGTAAAGTATGTTACCAATAAATATATGATATTGTCATTTATGACTAGAGTAATTATTGGTAGGAAACTAGGAACTGAAAACAAGACGACCTCACAAATTTAAGTTAAAAAACTTGCAAAGTGAGCTAACATGTACATTGTTCGCTATATGGGCCGATGGCGTAAATGGACTTACCGCTTGACCCATTTTAATGACAGTAGGACTGATAGTGACATTGTAGGTCGGATATTTGGATTCAGCTGATGGCAATTGTGCCGTTGCAGCACCATCTTCTTCCATTGGGTTTCCTCTCTTTTTTGTCCCTAACACATTAATAATACTGTTAATAATTTACTACTAGACAACAAATGTGTAATTCCACAATCCTAATTTTCCTTACCTCTTAATTACCAGTAATTTAAATTTACTCTGTATGAAAGTTTGAAATTAACAACAATGCCTTAAATTGTTTGATCTTCATAAACACCAATCAAGATTCCAGAAATGATAGTACCATCACTACCATACTAGGGCCTGTTTACTTCAGCTTCATTTCACTTCACTTTAGCTCTTAATTTCCTTCTCTTATAAAATATTCACTTCAGCTTAATTTCAGTTCAGTTCAGCTCCTAATTTCCTTCTCTTATAAAATATTCATTTTAGCTCAATTCAGCTCCAATTAGTTTAGTTCAGTTCAACTCAGTAAATGTGAACAGACCCTTATTTATATTACATGTCTTCATACCTTACAAATTAAAAGGTCTTTAGTGAAGGCTTTACAAATGATTCTCTCATCATATTAAACATTATAATAATGACAATTTAATTACTTATGTCCGTCTCAATTTACTTGTCTCAATTTCTTATATTGGATGTTCCAATTTACTTCGGTCATTTCTTTCTTAAAAAAAAGTAAAAAATATTTTTTTACTTGAGTTGGATCTCACTCTCGTTGACACATTGACAATTGACACATTCATAGGTAAACCGTATAATATCTTGTGCAAATGTTTTAATCACAGTAGTAAAAAACTCGTAATCAATTACTCCGTATAAATTTATAATTAGCTTATAAATTGGAGTAATTTTTAGGGAAATTCTCATTGGTACACCTGTGGTTTTGACTTTTCCCATTGATACACTCCAAAATTTTTGTCTTCCCATCGGTACACCCATGGTTTAGTCTTTTTCCCAACCGTGACTAACACCGTTAAAAAGTATTTCATTAAGTTAAAATAATTAAGAAAAAGACTATAATACCCCTTTTAAACATCTAATGTCTCGATTTGCGTGTCGAAAGTTGTTCGGTTTAAAGTTTTGGGAGTCCTAGTCGTTAAGGATCCAAATTAACCTCGAAATTAGCAAAAAAAAATAACGCAAATGTCTCATATGCGTGTCAAAAAATATCTCGATTTGCGTGCCATTACTTTTTTGTGATAATAATTGTTCGGTTAAGGTTTTAGGAGTCATTTTGACCCTTTATGAATCTAAATCAAACTCGAAATTGTCAAAAAATTAACAAAAATATCTCATTTTGCACGTCATGATATTTCTTTTTTGTTTTGTCATGAGACGCAAAACGAGACATTTTCGTTAATTTTTTGACAATTTCGAGTTTGATTTAGATCCTTAGAGGATCAAAATGACCCCCAAAACATTAACCGAACAATTACTATCACAAAAAAATAATAGCACGCAAACCGAGACATTTTTTAACACGCACATGAGACATTTGCGTTATTTTTTTTTTGCTAATTTCGAGGTTTGGATCCTTAAGGACTAACATGACTTCCAAAACTTTAACCGAACAATTTTTGATACGCAAATCGAGACATTAGATATTTAAAAGAGGTATTATAGTCTTTTTCTTAATTATTTTAACTTAATGAAATACTTTTTAACGGTGTTAGTCACGGTTGGGAAAAAGACTAAACCATGGGTGTACCGATGGGAAGACAAAAATTTTGGAGTGTATCAATGGGAAAAGTCAAAACCACGGGTGTACCAATGAGAATTTCCCTTTTTATTGTCAATAATAGAATCGAAATATAGATACGTCAAAGATGTTAATCCTGATGATTTCCAAAATAAAATCAGTAAAAAATTTTAAGCACAAAAAAATCACTAAAGATTTCAATTTCTCATTGATTTGATTAAATCAGAAAAAACTTTAATTTAAAAAATAACAAAATAAAAAAAAGGAGAAAATACCGTTACTAAATTGGCGCGCACAGGCAGTAGTAGGATCATACACAGTAACCCTGAAGATCAATTTAGAAATTTGTGTAAATACCAAAAAATCACCAACACTCAACTCATTATGCTCACAAAATTCCCTCCAACCATCTCTGAAACGGCAGCCGCCTTCGAGTTTTACGGCCCAATGGTGGTTATCGTCCGTGACTAGCGCCACGCCCTCCACTTGATGACCGTCTAGCTCCATCTCTATACGCTTCATAAATGACACCGGAATTGACTGCATGCAAATCAAAAGTATAAACAAGAAACGGTCAATGTCAACTAGCTTAGTTGGTAAACAAAACGTGGGATTAAATCATTAAATCAAGGGAGGGATGACGTACAAAGGTGTTGAAGAAACCCGGGATGAAGGGCTGCATGAATTTAGCACCATTGTTAGAATTTGGTTCATCTGAAAATTTTGTAGTGTGCATTTTAGCAGTTTTAATTTGTTATTTGTTCAAATTTGGGAGAAATGAATGTTTCTTCAATTATTGAGGTATTTTTGGTAACTGTTGATTGATTATTATACCATCGTTATTACTGTACGTAAATGGGTATGTGTGGTCAAAGCACTGTTGAATTTTTAAAATTGGCATGTGACAAGTCAATAACTTCAATTTTTTTTACCTCAAATAATTGTACCAGCAACTCATTATGGCATGAGGCCTGATGAACTTTGGAGATATCATCGCCTTTTCACTCAAAAGATAAGGCAATGGAAGTGGAATTCATCAATATGGAATACTCATACAGTCTCATAAGGTTTAGACAATTTAATACCAACCAAAGTTATTAGCCATTGAATCCGTCACTAAGAGAGAGTCTAAGGAGGTTCCATCTCATCCATCCATAAGGCAATAGAAATAGTAGTATAGCTTCTTTCGTATCTTTTATCAATGCAAGACATTTACATGTGTTGTTTGCAAAGGTTATCTAACTATGTCTTAACACTTTCCCTCACTTGTAAAGTCTCTTTTTAATCCAGTCACATGTGATGTTTTATGGGGACAGAGTGCATTTTCACATATACGTTTACTCTAGAACAAATATATAACTTGCATTTTGGTGTACATTAAGGGAATAACAATATGAGCTTATAGAAGACACATTAGAAGAGGGGAACTTTACCAAACAAACTTTACTTCTATTGATAATTTCTCACACAAACACAAACCTTCTACATATTTAGACATATATTATGATTTAGGCAACCCTCATATTGAGCTACAAGATTAATTATGTATAGTCACACCAATATACATGCATTCTCTAATTAACATATCACAATTTGATCCACTTGAGTAGTATTCTTCCACACAAACCATTTAGCAGCCAATACATATATAACCAAATCCAAAGCACAAAACCCAGCCAAAACCCAGTAAAACTCATCAAGATGAGCGCGATTAAGATCATTAACCAACCATTCTTCCCCCCACTTCTTGCTCATCTCTTGTACAGTAACTATAATCGCGCTACTCATGAAAGCACCAACCCCTATTGCACCATTAGTTAAGGCTGAACCCATGCTTCTCATGTCCTCTGGCATTTGATCATAGAAAAGCTCTTGCATTCCAACATATGCAAACATATCACTTAGTCCCATCACTACAAACTGGGGGACTAACCATCCCACACTCATCGGAACTATAGCCTTTGGATCGTTGATGAGCCCGTGCTTACTTGCTACACCAACCCTCATGTTTTCTACTAGAGCTGCTATCGCGATGGTCAAGATGGAAAGTCCCAACCCAATGCCGATCCTATGGAGTGAGCTTATACCTGGAGGAAAATTTCTCTACATAGTTATACATTGATTAAACATAATACAATCCATATAAATAATTTTTCCAATTTGTAACAAATACTAGTACGCGTACGTGTAGGAAAATAGGAAAAACAAATGCAACATTTGCGAATTTTAGTACTTGTACCCCTGCAAAGAGCATAAGACAGCTTTTGACGCGTTACATGCCCTTATGTTACTAGAAACACCGCCTTGTGTAGTGATTTTATTTTAATTTTTTCTAATTGTAGGACTAATCATAAAATGTCCTTTATTGTAAAGTTTTTCTTAAGAACCAACAAACAAAAACTTTTGGCTATTATTTGCTCACAATTTAAAAAAAAAAAAATGAACAGAACAAGCTTTTCATAAACTGAAAAGTTTCTATCAAGCTTTTTATTTTCAAAAAAAGACAAGTTTGCTAACAGAGTAGAACTACAGAAGCAATTTTGTCCAAACAAAAAGGTGTTTATTGTATCATAAGACACTACATAAAGTTGATTCCTAATAAGTAGAAAAGTACCTAACATAAACTAACAATATTGAATATATTGAATAACATAATCCTTATTAAATTAGGTTATTCTCATTTTTATCTCGCATCATATGACTTGAAATTTACCAAATTTTAATATTTGTATTCTCTTATAATAATCAGAAATGATCAATCCGTGACACATATTTAGGCATCTTCAATGACTAATTGGTTGCGATTGACTAGAGTGAAACATCACTTTAGATAGTTACGATAACAATTAAGATTTTCTCTACTAGTCTAACATGGCTAACAGTGGCGGGGCCAGGTTTTAAAGACGAGTGTCATTATTATCCATAGGGTGTCAGCTGTCAATATTATTTTTAACATCGGGGGCTATAATTTTTGTAAGAGAAAAAAATAATATAGTTATTATTTCTAATGGGGTGACTGCTACGAAGTATTAAAATAAATTTGATATTAATAATTGAAATGTTTAACAATTTAAAACTCGTACCTGAGGGGATTTTAGTGATATTTCTCATAGAAGGAACGAAGAGTTTATCATAGATTGGAACCGATATTAAGATAGTAATCCCAGGGATGACTTGAAGAGATGCAGGTGGGATTGAAACCTTAGGGCCAAGTGAACGTTGCATGGTGCTAGCTTGCTTGATGAAGAAGGTATGGACTTGTGCTACGATTATTGCGTAGGCAAAGGTGCATACCCAAATCGGGATTAACCGAACTATGAGCTTCACTTCTTCCACTTGATTAACGGAGCACAGCCTCCATGGGTTTCTGGATTTCATCAATGAATCTCTCTCGTCGATGATCATTGCCTTGTCGAGACATCTGCAAGAGTTTGATTGCTTGTAAAAAGACATGTACAAAGTGTATGCGTCATCTCCTACATATAATATTTTTTTGATACAAATATTCAATGAAAATCTTATGACCAACTTCTAATTTCTTTGAAGAAAGAATGACTCTTATCAGATCTCAACCCTTATTCTTTAGACTTTTTTTTTTTTTTTTTTAATAGGGTTCGATATTTACAAGTTAGGCACTTGTAAGTGGTCAATTGGAAGGATAAAGGAAATAGTTACTAAAATGGGCTGAAATTTATTTTAATTAGAATATACATAGCAATAAACAACTAAATACTTGTAAAACGTGTAGCATATTCAAGAATGTTTAAAATTGTATGCAACAAATAAATACAGATTATATCAAATTATTTAACAACAAATCATCAACCATCATCAAATATTAAGTAATATTAAAGTTTTACTTGTATCGTTTGATACTAGCTAGGAGTATTCGAGATTAACACTCCACGCTTTACCATTTTGCTAGTGCTTATTAATTAACAACAAAAATATTGCTTTAGAAAAATAATAAGCTAAGTTTTACAATTAGTACTTTAGAAACTACTTTAATTTGGCAAAGAAATTAACTGTGATTAGCAAATTGAGAATTATACAAAGCTAGAAGTTTGATTAACGTAAACAAAATGAGAAAAGTACTAGCTAAAAAAAGGGATGAATCATTTAGTCTAGTATTTGAGTAATTCTAAGTAGATTTTATGGTATTTTGACACCTTCTCTGAGCTAACTTAAGCAGATGTAAAATGAGAAAAGTACGAAAAGATAAATTGTGAATGAATGATACACTTTAGGAAAATTTGCAAATTGCAGTCATTTAAAGTTTGTATTTTGCAAATTACAACCCAAAAGTTCATATAAATTGTAAATTGCAGCCCGATTTAACTTTTTTATCGGTTTACAAGTTGAAAAATCTTCGATTAAGGTTTTAGGGGCCATTTTAGGGCTTAGGGGTCTGAATTGAGCACGGAATCAGCAAAAAAAAATAACGCAAGTATCTTGTTTTGCGCAATAAAAATGTATCGATTTATGGGAAACTGTAAATATGAGACACTTACGTTATTTTTTTTGCTAATTCCGAGCTCAATTCGGCCCCTAAGAACTAAAATGACCCCTAAAACCTTAACCAAAGTTTTTTTTTAACATGTAAATCGATGAAAAAATTGAATCGGGCTGCAATTTACAATTTATACGAACTTTTTGGCTGCAATTTGCAAAAAAAAAAAAAAATGGCTGCAATTTGCAAAATATGAACTTTAAATTGCTGCAATTTGCAAATTTTCCTACACTTTATAAAAAAAAAACGAATGATACACCATTTGTTTAGAGCTAGTTATGATTGTTTTTGTGGTCCGTATTCAAAAGAGTTTGATTCTCATAAAGTAATACAAGTCAACCAATTATGAGTGGTCTGTTCTCTTCAGCTTATTTTCAGTGTTCAGTTTCTAATTTCCTTCTCTCATAAAATATTCAGTTCAGTTTAGCTTAGTTTAGTTTCAATCGGTTCAGTTCAGAACAGGCCCTAAGTAAAGATAAGAGGATTTAGACTTGATCCAACCATATGCATGTACATAGCAATAAAATAAAATAACATCTCAAGGTCTACTTTGAAAAAAATAGGTTCACGTTAGCAAAATGTGAAAAGTAAGGAAGAAAAAAGCAAAAAAAACATGCAAGTCAAAACACAATAAAAACACAATCAAGTAGCAAATGCAGGAAAACGAAGACATGTTCTCATCTTCCAATAAGTAGAGAGATGAGAAAGATGGTGGTGAACAAAGTTAAGTGAATTCAACTCAAAATTACAGGGTTTGCCTTTACGTCTTTGTCAATCACATGCGTCTTATATTTGTTGCTCTATTTCATTTCCTCAGCCCCTCAGGTGTTTTCATTTACATACACTTTCTAAATTATTCTAGAAAATTCATTCATATACTTCATATACTAGTAAATTTTTTAAGTTAACACATTTTAATTTTTTACATTATTTACAAACTGTACAGTAATTAAATTTTATAATATGTACATAAGATAAAATATACTCTATAAGATAAAATATACTCTATAATCGTGTAATATGTTGGTATTGTCTCAATGTATATTTTTATAGCATTAACTTTATATAATTTTTAATTATTATATTTGTATTTAAAGATATAATTCATTAAACTTATTTCATCACAAACATGATACGAGTTATAGAACCTAAAAAAATATAATATTATTATGATGTCATGTGACTCATGTCACAATATGGATCTGGTAGTTAGTATGGAAAGCAGCATCATATGCATTTCCACTTCCAATCCACATGCATCCTCAATCTAGAGTAGTAGAGAGTATGTATGGTGGATTCCACATTCATTACTATATATTTTCTCTGTTTCTTTAGCTAACACGTTTCTTTAGTCACGTTTGTCAATGCATAAATTCAACCATTGATAACTTTAATTACTAATAAATAAAAGTTATGAAAATATATATCGTGATAAATTAACAAAATCCTACATGACTATTATTCATTACGTATAACACTGTCAAAAGAAAGCGTGTGAAAAATGTTAAAATCAAAACATGTCAACTAAAAAAAACGAAGGTACACACACTCGATAGTCAATAAGCAAGTTAGTACCCTTGGGCTCGCACATCATATCATATCATATCATATCATATACTTGGTACTTGGACAATTGGACAAAACAAGTATACCAAATTGGGAATAATCATGTCATGTTTTACTTAGCTAGTGGAATGATGCTTAGCTTGAAGCTCAAATTTTATGGCCAAGGATCGGATGTACAAGTTCAAAACTTATGGCAAGTTTTAGAAATTATGAAGGTGCATGCACTTATTCAAAATTAGTGGGTTTTTATATTTAGGTTTTGAGTGTAGTGATATACATGCATATAACTGAAACAATGAACCGTACCAAACAATTTAGAGTTGTGTGGAATATGCATTAGTGGTAACCTTATCCTAACTGTTCAAATGTTCCCCTCAATTAGAAAGATATGTTTAGTAGGAGTATCAACCTTTACCAAAAAAGAAGGTTCAGAATTTTTGAAAGATGAATATTTTCAGGTGTTACGCATATATAGTAAGATTAGTAACAATGAAGCTTCTCAAAATAAAAAGTTATATACTTATATTGCCTAAAAACGATGGTCAAGAAAACTGCTTTTTATACATTTATACTCCATTTATCTTATTATAGTTATGTATATATTATACTTCGTATATCTTAATGTCAAGTGTCGTTTTCTAAACTTCATAAAAAAAAAGTTTTTTTTTAAAAATAAATAAATAAATAAAATAAAATAAAATAAAATAAACAAAATAAAAAACATTTGGATGTTTATTAAGTTGTATGGTAAGCTGAGTAGATTTGTTTTGGATCAAGGTTACAAGGCTCTTAAATAATGGACATGGGCGCATGTCCCTTATTGGATAGGAATATAGGATCACTATAGGGCTAAATTATTTGCCCAATTTAATAGAAAAAGGGAATAGATAGATAACATACATAATAATAAAATATAAATAATTACGTTTACTTATTTTCGTATTCTTATATGATTATACGTACAAAATTATAATATATCTCTCCTCTATTCTTTTTTCTTGATTGTTTATTGATTTGTCAATTACTAACCCACGACTCACGTTGGCCAAAAACAAAAAAAAAATGTGACACTCTCAAAATCCAACCCCAACTCGACCCTCCCTACTAGTGGGGAGGTCAATGGGGATCAAAAACTAATATCGAATCCCATCTGCATTTTTGTGCTTTGTACTTCTTTAGTTCTTTATGTACCAAAATGTATATAATAGTGTTTTCTAGAAGGAATAAGGGTTTTTATTTCCAAATATCTTATTCATACTATTTAAAATTCACATAAGTTAATAAAACGTAAACTACAGAAAACTTATATTCTACTCTATATTACAGCAATGTAGATTTGGTGGATTTTTTAACGGTACATAGAATCTTATTGAAATAGTATGGCATGAAAAACAAATGATGGTTCAAAATTAAATGGACTTGTTCATGATGTGTCGAAAGATTAGTGCAATTGTTAGGGGGGAAAGGTGATTTAATGTGTAAAATTGACAAAGTTATGGTTCAATTTTGCCCGGAAATGTCTTCTCATTAGGTTTGTCAATATCATAATAGATATGCTTTTTTTGTGATAAAAAAAGTTTAATAGTACAAGCCATCACCAAATAATGGTCCAAATCTTGTGGAGCATAATCTTAAAGACATTTTGTATTGATTTTACCCAACTTTGCTCTCTCTACCTTTATTATGAAAGTGGCCCTATACTATTTGTTGCCTTAGTCTTAGGTTGATCCTCAATAAATGATGTTGGTCGGACTATTTGACCATTTTTGTGACCCATAAAAAGAGGCTAGTAGCCTAGTAGTACAATGTACAACCCGGCAAAACACAAAAGCTAAGGATCTTAAGCTAGAATGCTAGAACAACTAACTATATGACCCAATTTGTCATACATTTCACTAAATTGAATTCTTATTGGCTAAAGAATGAAATTTGTCTTCTAAAAAAGAAATAGAGTACAAATTCTTAACCACAAAGCACCTTCTTGGCCTCCAATCAATTCATATAGTCCAAAACACCTATATGGTCATATACTCATTTTTTTTATATAGGTCATATACTCATATATATTCTCTTTTATCCCACTAAAATTGTCTCATAATCTACCAATAAATGAGATTTTGAATTTGCCTCACTACTTCAATGGTACTCCACGTTCTTTCAATGAATAAATTATAATTGAAAAAAAGCAAACTAATTAAAGAATATGGGACAACCTTAGCAGGACGGAAGGAACAAGTTAAAAAAATAAAAATAAGTTTACAAAAATGAATAAATAAAATTCTTGACTTTACAATGACCATTTGCAATAGGCCAATGACTTATAGGTCAAAAAACACATGATTTGTCTTCCTATACCAAACATCTATCTTTCTAAAACAATGAGCAAATAGGTTGTGGTATTTGGTTTGATTCATGCCATATAGTTTTGATTTTGAACCTATTATCAATCAAGTTGTTAGGATAAACTAGATAATATTAGCCGCATTATCTTTTGAGTCACTTCGAATCTAATCAAAAAATTTCTTCATGTCTAATTCAGATCATATAATTTAAGATACAATTTTAACTTGTATTAAGTATTTAAAAATAGGCTGATTTTATCGGGGCATACTTTCAACCTCATATTTAATATTGCTAACTCAAAGAAATGACAAATAAGAAAAAGCACACTTTACTAACAAATATTTAAGCTCTAAAGATAAGTATTGAGAATTTGAGGTAAAAAGCAAAAATAATCCATGCAACTGCTTAGTGGAGCTTAATAATGATCTAATTGATGAGTATTTTGCATTGCGTTGTTAATTTTGACTAAATTGATGATGACGGCCATCCCTCGAGTTACTTTTTTAATTTTTTTTAATTAATGGGGTAAAAAAAATAAACAAAATAAAAATTAATAAGAGTAGTATGGGCTGACTTTTAGTAGAAGTAGGGTCCCTTGAGAACCCAAAGCATGAAACTGAAAAAGTATCTTATTGGCTAAGTATTTATGGATAGATTTAACCTAACATTTGTCTGATTACATGTATTTGTGAATAAATTTATTAATATGTGGGCCAAGTAAACAAAGAATTCCTCTTTGACAATGTTAAAGACCTAAGGCACCTAACATCTAAACATATCCAAATTAGATGATATTTAATTTTAATTGGTAGCCTTCTAAAAAAATTGGTAGAAAATTGTAAACTCATAAAACAATTATAATAATGAATGAGCAAAAATTAATTTTAATTAGTAAAAATGTAACTCGGAATGAGTAAAAATTAAATTTATTAATCACTAAAACTTAGCAATTGGTACCTAAGAAATAACACATTATAGAACCATTTCATGAAATTAATTCCTCCATATTTTATACTTCGTATTACACTATTACTTCCTCAGCTCGGTCTTATTTAAAATATCTACTACCAGAATATCGGGATTTTTTTTTATTTGTAAATTTTTGAACATTTTTATTTCTTACTTCAATCTAGAAAAATCCAATGATCAATGTATGTAATGTGTATGTTTTCATAAAAGAAAGAGGGCAAAGAGCATCCATTTCCCAATTCTACCAGACTAAAAATGAGACAAAAGGTAATGGGAAGAATGTTTTCCACAAAAGAAACAAATGCAAAGCAATGAAAGCATAGAACAAAAACTTGTATGTTTTTGTCGTTACTCTCATTTACTATCCCTTCTTTCCTATATTTTGTCGTTATATGACTATTGTTAGATGCTAATTAATGAGATTGTTGTAAAGTTTAAAGTAAGTAGTAATGTGATGCACCAACAAGGAATATAATATAGACCATAATCTTTATATTATTTTAATTAATTATCTCATAATGACTTATGAGGTAATCTTAATTTACTAATAACTTAGTTTGGTGTATTTTGAGTCTAAGTTTTGATTTTTGTTTTTATATACTTCGTAGATAAGATGAAGATTGAAAAATAAGGAAAAATCCGACCTGAAAAGGATGAGACTCAATCTAAGGTCACTAAAATTAAAGTTACTAGATAAACCGGTACCCAATCCCTAGACTTAACTGGCCACTGCCCCTCTTTCTTGGACTTGAATATTTTGTGATGATGCATGATACTTTTTGTATAGATGAGTTTACTAAACATATAACAACCTTCAGTATGGAATCTACTTTATTTCATGTGATGTCCATTATTATACTATATGTGCAACAAAGAAGATCTCAATTCTTCTATTAGTACTATATTTGGTTTTTAGTGTACTCAGCAGTGTCAGCACTAGCCTTTGTGATTAGAAAGAGTCAACTTTTAATACAAGTTTTATTAATAAGTAATCAAAGATATTAAGGATTATTTAATTATTTTTATAAAGCAATGTTGCTTTCTAATTGAAACATAGTATGTATTATTACGTTGAGTCATCCAACTCTCAATAGAACGGCTAGATATAAATAATGATACAAAATATAACGATATTAAATTAAATATTTTAATAAGAAGATGAGAATTGGAGGAAAAGAACTCGAGAAAATCTCATTCCATCAAGGGTTGTCATCAAGTGGATTTGCTAATTAAAACGTGCTTTTAAATCTACATCAAATCATCACACCTAATAAAAAGAAATGAAAAAATTTTCAATCCCAAATAATTTTCAAAGTTTGCTTATTCTACTTAGTGGAGTGACCAACACTACTTAAAAGGTCTTAAAGACTTAAAGTCATAAACTAATATCCTAGACTTACCGACTGATTTCGTGTTGAATTATATCAGACTTGCCGACTAATCCCAAATTAATGTCAATTTATATCCAAAATAACAATTAATTTATTAATTACGATTAATTTATTATTGCATCAATTTCGTAGCTAATTAAGTGTCGAATTTGAATCACATGGTCCCAGCAGTTGACCTATATATTACGTTAGTACGTTATCAAATATTATATCCAAGTGAGCTTTTTTATTTATTTTTTTCTAGCAACTAGTAGTACGACAATGTTTCCCATTATTTTATTTTTTTTTTGAAGCAAATGTTTCCCATTATTTTATTTTTCTTATGTCCAAAATAAATACAAATTGCAAACTAATAGTACGGAGTAATACATTTGAAGTGAGTAATAGCGTTCTTTTACCTTAAATTTATATTTTATTATAAAGGAGAACAAGATATATATATGTAAAATAATGGCTAGAATGGTGTTGTAGTTATATTGAATGGGGTTAACGGCGTAAAAGCAATGATAATGTTACGGAATAAAAAGAGTTTTGTTTAGATGACAACATTACCAGTATTAAACCAAGTAGAATAAAATCGTAACATAAAAGTTGTCACGAGTACGTTACCTGAATTGGTTAGTACGAGCCAATTTACGCGCATCCAATCCATGACTAACATCATCATCGTAGCACAACCCTCGACCATTGCTAGTCTCAACCACGTGCCTCTTTCTAACGGCGGCAACAACCACTTGTGCCACTTTAGTAAACGGACTCCCCACGGGCCGCTCCATCCGATAAGTCAAACATCCGAAGATAAAAACCGCTAAAGCCAACCCTACGGCAATAGTAGGAATGGAAAACCCGACGGTCCAACTAACGTTGTCCTCTACATAAACAATTATAACCACGGCAATTGTTGCACCAACAACAATTCCAAGGTACCACCAGTTAAAAAATGAGCTCTTGGCCTTTCTTTGTTCAGGGGTATTTTCGTCAAATTGATCAGCAGCAAATGTTTGGACACATGGTTTATGACCACCTTCACCCAAAGCCGTTATGTAAAGAGCCGAGAAAAATAAGGGTGTACGAATGTTTTGTGGGATTTTAGTGGCTGTTGATGTTGTCAACAAAATCAATCCCTGTTGATTAAAAATGAAACATAATAAATCAGCTAGTCCCATGAGAATTATGAGTGCATCATATACTTTTAGACTGACAACTTGCAACAATGATATTTTGCTATTTTTGTTGTTGATTTTACTTTTAGGAGTGAATTTTCAGTATTCGTAAGTAAACTAAGGGTCTGTTCACATTTACTGAAATAAGATGAGCTGAGATAAACTGAACTGAACTAATTGGAGCTGAGCTGAAATGAATATTTTATGACAGAGGGAAATTAAGAGTTGAACTGAACTGAACTGAGAACTGAAGTGATTAGAGCTGAACTGAATTGAACTGAAATTAAGTAAATGTAAACAGACCCTAAGTTACTTGTTAAATTTTGAAAGGTAAAAATTGAAACGAATAATCCGAACTTTGACTATCATTATAACATTAAACTTAAGTACTTAACTTTTTGAATTAATTTAGAATATCATAGCTTTGAGAAGATCGTATCATGTCGGATTAATATGGAAAAACAATCTTTAAGTTCTTGACTTGTTCAAGAGCTCTAGGGAATTTATCAAAGAAAGTCATTAGAAATTCAATTTTTTTTTTCTCCAAAGTTGGAAATTTCCCTAACTAAGTAATATATAGTAACACTTTTATTTTAGCTCTAATAACCGTATACTCTTTCATAACAAGCAATTACTCCGTAATTATTTACACAAGGTTAATATATCAAAATAAGCATAATTTTGACAAACCTTCTAAGTTTCAATGTATTGCTTGATTTCTCTCGAGTAGGGCTGGCAAACCCTGACCCGACACGAAAACCCGACCCGAACCCGACCCGAAGTTACTGAGAGAGACCCGAACCCGACCTGAACCGAACCCGAACAACCCGAATTCGACCCGATTTGACCCAAATTTCATATTTCGTAATAATATTAAGTTTTACACTATTTTTAATAGTTTCTAAGCATAACCCGAAATCGACCCGAAATCTGACCCGAACCCGACCTGTTGACCCGAATTGTCACCCCTACTCTCGAGGCACTAACTCAACATCAGTTACATGATCTTACACAGTTACACCACTAATAAAGGTAATTAAATGTAAAAATATGTTTTAAACATTTCAAATATATTTACGGACACCATTCATAATAAATACAATATGAGCGAGACACACATATCATATTCCTTATAAATTTTTTAATACCACATTGGCACAATACCATCTATTACCTATTTACCTCCGTTTCATATTATTTACAACGATTTGATATAAAATAGAGAGAAAAAATATATAATCGTTGCAAATAATATGAAACGGAGGTAGTATATAGAATATGAGACACACACTTATCATATACTCTTAATAACTAAATATCACAATGGATGCAATTTAAATATACTGATTAACACCAAGATGTATGAAATTTATACTCATATAAACTTATTAAATTTTATGTTAAGGACCAACTAGTGATGTCATCTTCATTAAATGACATGAGTATGACTTGATTTTCACCCTCTAGTATCATGAGCACTTCATGATAGAGAGAGCAGTATGACCTGGATAGACTAGTTGAATGGCACTGACAGATAATCACGTACTAATTATTTTAAGGAGCTTTTAGCACCCAAAAACATAAAGTAAAAAAATGAAAATAAAAATAAAAATGCATTCATTACCCACCCTTTTTTTTTGGCATTATTCATTAAATTTCCTAAAGGGAAAGGGAAACAAATGAGGTGTTAACAAGTTCAAAACTCAATTGACGTCTAAAGCCGTTATAGACAAAATTCAATCTCAAGCCATAAGTAATTGTTGTAGTTTTTAACTTTTGTTTGTTTCGACGGAAAACAGAATTTACAATTCTCAACGAAAAACACAGTTGTAAAAACTCAAGTGAGGTCCAAGTTTATTATAGACGAAATTCAATCTCAAGCCATAAGTAATTGCCGTAGATATATTCTTTACCTTCTGTTTGTTTCGACGGAAAACAGAATTTACAATTTTTTACGGAAAACACAGTTGTAAAAACAGCCTTGATATAGCGTGGAAGGGGAAAGATCGAAGAGAAGGAGGGAAAAGCGAGTAAGTAGGGTGGAAAATGTGACATCATTAGCTTCCTTTCAAAATTAGTTTTATCTCCGTCCTTTAAAAGTCAAATTAAAATGTTTTCCGTCAAAACAAACAGAGCCTTTGTTAAAAAGCGAAAGCGGATAGATACTATTCCATAAGTAGAGGAAAAGGAAAAGCGAAACTTACCATGAGAAAAACGGAGGAGGAAAGGAGAGTAGTCTTAAAGCGACCAAGATAAGAATCAGCAAAGAAAGCACCAATAAAGAGAGCAAGAGATGAAACACCATTCCATGAATTCACATTTTTAGCAGCAGTTGCAAGGGGTATACCCATTATTGTTGTTAAGTACATGATTAAATTCCCTGCTATTCCATAATACGCAAATCTTTCTGCCATTTCCACAACTTCATTTTTTTCATTTTTATTACAAAAAAAAAAAAAAAAAAAAAAGTTAGTTAGTAAAAAAAAAAGGGGAATTTATTTTTTTATTTTAATAAAATGTAAAAAAAAGAAATGAATTGAGAAATAAAATCTTACAGATGATGAAGATGGCAGATTTCCATCCACCTTTAGAAGGATTAATGTTAGAATTATCCATGAGAATGAGGAAAGGGGTAAGAAGAGTACAAGATGAAGATGACTAGAATTTATTCTTGAAAGTTGAAAGCTTGGAGTTTGGACACGTAAATATATAGAGAAAAATACAAAATAAAAGGGGTTTTTTTTTTTGAATTTTTTTTTTTTTTGTATGTATATCAGGTTGTGTTGAGAGGGGAGAGGTAGTTGGGGACTTCGGGGTTTATTTACTCTTTTTTTTTTTTCCTTGGTTTGTTCTGTTTTTGGTTGAGTACTAGATAGATATTTATAATGGAATTTTTTTTAGTTTTGAGGGGAAAATGGAAAATAAACGTTAAAGTTGTGGAGGTTGATGGAAAGGTATCACCGCCAATAAAAATAGGAGTGTGTAAGTGGGTGTTTACCTGATCATAAATTCTCTAAAAGGGCGGGTATATGTTAATTTATTGTAAGATGAAGTAAAGTTATTAATTTAAAGTTACTCTTTATTGTACAAAAATATTATTTTTATTATTAAAATTGGTGTTAAGACTCTGAAATATAGCTTAGGGGCACCCAACACCCTATATTTTGCTTAGTGTCCAAAGTAACACAAACTTATAACTTGGGTGCAAAACGCACCTTTAGTGAGTTTTCCGGCCACCGTTTTTCAGCACGTAAATCGAAAAATAAAAATTTAATTCACCAGCTCCTCGCGAGAATGGTAGCTGGAAAACTCACCAAATGTGCACTTTGCACCCAGATTATTAGTTTGTGGTGTTATGGCTACTAAGCAAAGTACAGGGTGTTAGGTGCACCCAAGCCATAATTTAGAGTGTTAAGGACAATTTTACCTAAAATTAATGCACATCCGCCTTACACAAGACTTATTGTTACAAGATAGGTTAATCTTAGGGATCAGTAATATTTTACCCGGTTAATAATGAACCACATTGAATTCGTGAAAATTTTAAGTAGAGAGTTAATAGCATGCCTTAATCATTATTCAAGAATAGGTAGATAAAATTTATACAAACTTAAGATTCATGAGATAGGAAACAATTTTCTTGAAAAATATACTATCATAACCACGAATCCTAAAAATATAGTCACTAATAATATAATCCTAAATATATTATTCTCCTAATTCAATATGAAAAATGTATCACATTTGATATTGATAATATCTCAATCTCAAACACCCTTCTACAATCGTAACCACAGTAAGGCCTTGTTTAGTTCACCTTATTTTTACTTATTTTAGAAAAAATAAGTTCTAATAGATCAGATTAGAAAAAATAAGTTCGAATCAAATCATCGTTTTATGTGCAGTTTTTTGTCGCTAAATATCTTTAATTTCGTTATGAAAAAAATTATAAAAATCAAATATTAATAAAATCACATATTAATAAAATCACAAACTCTTAATAACACCCAGTTTACACTAAATTAGTGTAAATCGGGCTGGGCTGGACAACTTCATCACCGAGAAAAATGATTTAACAACGAGGTGGTCGTCAATGGAGAGATGATCGAGGATTATGAAGAGGAGTTCTTCGTTGAGGAGGTCGAAGGGGTTGTTGTTGTTCTCATGCTTCATCGATTTCGCCATTGAAGGAGAGAGAAAATGGAGGAAAGTGGAGAGAGAAGTATTGCAGTTGCTAATTGTAGAAGAAAAATGGTTGAATTTTGAGGAAAGTGAATACTCCTATGATGGAGGATAATTGTATTGAATTGTATTGTTGGGAAGAAGGTGGTAAGGGCAGACTATAATTGATTTCGCCATTAAAGGAGAGAGAAAATGGAGGAAAATACTTGCTAATTGTAGAAGAAAAGGATAACTTTTTGATTTTGATACTTTGTTTTTGTGGAATAAAAAGGTCACTTTTGTGAAAAAAAAGGGTCTCTTTTGTGTAAAAAAAGGGTCACTTTTGTGTAAAAAAAAGGGTAACTTTTGTGAAAATATAGGTCACTTGTATATAAAAAAAAAGGTTACTTTTGTAAAAAAAAAAAAAAAAAAAGAGTCACTTTTGTGAAAAAAAAGGGTCACTTTTGTGAAAATATGGGTCACTTTTGTGAAAAAAAAGGGTAACTTTTATAAAAAAAAGGGCCACTTTTCGTAAAATGTTCGATGTACAATAAAATTATTGTAAACCGGGTGCATGCAAAAGGTTTTGTAATAAAATTTTACATTATTACAAATCTAACAAAACCCCACTTGATATATTTTTTTGTATAGATTATCGTATATTTAAGGTCTAATTTTGGTAATGGGGCGGGGCGGGGCGGATGTTGGCCTTCCCATCCCCATCCTCACCTAATATTTTCATCTCCATCCCCATCCCCATCCCCGCGTCGGGTCCAATTTTCATCCCCATCCCCGCCCCACCGGGTACAACTCCAAAACCATCCCCGCCCCACCTCCCACTTGGATATCCATCCCCACCTAATCCCCACCAAAGACCCGCCTAATCCCTGAAGGAGTTATGTCTTCGTCGTGTGCAATTACTAGATATATAATTGGATCAAATTATGGAGATAATTAAGTTCGTACATTTGGGTCGTCGTTTTTCCATAGCTAGAGGTACTAACGATCTTTGGACTAGTAAAATAGCCCAAAGCCCAATTGGACGGATCCTATAAGGTCACACAAAGGGGCTAGATCGAGCATTAGAGGACGAGGCCCATTATAGGCCTCATCACTCTAGGTGGCCGGCCATATGGAGTGGACAAGGGAGTTTTGGGCTTCGTGCCCTAGTCTAATTATAATGAGATTATAAATAGACTAGGTGCCTAGGTTTGCAAGTAGAAGAAGGAATTAACTGATCAGTGTGATCAAACCCGAATTAGCAAACACGAAACCCAACCCTCTCAAAGTCCTCTCTCTCACAGCTCTCTCCTCCTCCTAGGCGCCGCGGTGGTGTGTCGTGGTGGTGGTAGTTCGTGCGGTGGTCGGTTGTCCATAAAGGTGGTGATCGCGATTTTCCTCAATCACTCGACCAATCTAGTATTGGTGGACGGCTCGTTCGAATCTCGTGGACTAAGTAGAGGAGCAACGCTTGGGGCTCTATTCTCTCCCTGATTTTCCTGTCGAATAGCTTCGTGGAATTCACGCGTCAAAGGTATGATTATGTGTCTTGTGTGTTATGCATGTGATTCTTGGGATTGGTACTTGATTGAATATGATTCATGTTTTTTCCGCTGCGTAGTACCTATAAACTCCTGCAGTGGTATCAATTAGCCTCTTGCATGAACGCGCTAGATCATAATAATACGATTATTTGATGTCCACGTTAATTTTATAATCAATTAAGAGGGAGAAATTAATCTAATTATGGTTCAATTATTATATTTAATGTGATTAAACTTTTGGAATCGATTAAATGTGATTTAATTATGCCCAAAATAGCCATGAAAAGACCGAATTTTAGCCCTAAATTGTTCGAAAATTTCAAACACCCTAACCCTATTTTTCGAATTTTTCGAAATTTATAGCCCTAAAATATGATTTTTGTGCTTGATTTTGATTTAATTCGATTTATTTTATGATTCATAATTTTATCGGATTAATTTATGCACAAAAGTGTTTTGTGTATGGTCATCAATTTAATTTTAAAAGTTAGAATTAAATTGGGATTAATTTTATGAAGAACCCTAATTTTAAAGTTGAATGTGATTTAATTTTAATCTTATGGACTGATTTAATTTAATTATGATAAGTGTTATTTTAATGAAATTAAAACACAAAAAAAAAAAAAAAAAATCTGTTTTGGTGGCTGGCAACCGCGGCTGGGTGGCGCAGCCACGGCGGCTGCCGACCAGATGACAGTCCGAGAGGGAGGGAGGGAGGGAAGGCGGTCAGGGTGGCTGTGGGCAGCAGCGTGCAAGCGTTGCACGACTGCCAGAGCAGCTGCCCGCTGCTGCCTTGCGGCAGTGGCTGCTGTTATGGCAGCCAGCCACCGTGGCTAGCTTCGGCTAGCCAACCACGGTGGCCAGCGGTAGTGGCTTGCGGTTTTTCAAAAAAAAAAAAAATTAATTATCTTATTTTAAAATTATTTCAAGATAATTGTGAATTATTTTGAGATAAAATTAGTTTTATTTTGGATAAGATAAAATATTTTGAAAATATGATCTTTTATTTTTAAAAGATAAAATTGGTTTTATTTGGATAAAATTTTTTATTTTAGGATAAAATCAAATATTCAAAAGTTGTTATATTTGATATTATCCATATTTAAAGTTGTTAAATTGGTAATTATCCTAATTAAAGTGGTTAATTTTGGATAAGATTGACTAGGATATTCTGAGCATATTCCAAAAGGATAATAATTGATTTAAATAATGTGATTATCCCATAATTAGATTAGGATACAATTGATTTTAAAATTATTTGATTGGCTAGTAATTAGGATAGAATCTCCTAAATTTGTTAGGATAATCATGAAAGATTAAATATGATTTATCTTTCTAGATTAAAATATGATTTGATTCCATCTCATGACTAAATTAAATATATGATATTTAATAAACAGTCATGAATAATATATGATATTATCTAATTATGATTAAAATATAAGATATTTTAGGAAATGCGTTGACTTTATTATGAACATTCGATGTTGTAGTTTAGACAAGCATGTTGAGTGATTTATTATATGGCACTTTTATAATATATGATATTATGTTGCTATATATAGACTAGTATGGCCCATAGATTCTTAAATACGATCTGCGCATCGTGAAGTTTTTTTGTCATCTAAATACGGTCTGCGTATCGTTAAGTTTTTTTTTTGTAACTTTTTATTTAAAGTAAATAGAATAGTTATTTAAATAGTGTTAGTCCAAAGAAGCCCATGAAGTGAAGGCCCAAAGGAGCAAGGTGGATGGAGATCCATGACGATTCAAGTGGGAGCTTTTTCATTTCTAGTTTTCTTAGGACTAAGGGGTCATACTATGTCATGATTTATTGCATTAGTAGATTATGCATGTTAGATTTTATTTATGTTGATTGATGATGCGCTAGAGTTCACTAAATAATCACAACATAATAAATCTAGGTCCCAGTAATATTGAGATTGCTTTTCCAATTAAAAACCCGATGAAACTTTTGATATTTATGATGGGTCATGCCAAAGCTGGGTGTCATATTATATCTTAGGGGAGTGGGGGTAAAATAAATTTTACACTTTTAATTGGTTGTGCTCAACAAGGTTACCTAAAGAGTTTAGAACCTTGAAGCGAAGGGAAATAATTAAACATGTGATGATTAATTATTCAACCAAGAGTTACAAGAGTTGTAATCAGTAAAGAGTTTACTCACCTTGAAAATGTAATGGTTGATGGTAGGGCCAAAGTCCGGTCAATTATTGCACAAATAAAGGATCTTGGAATCACTTAAATTCAATTGGGATCAATTAATTATTGAATAAAGTGCTTTAAAGTTACCAAATGAATGAGTTTATGGTACTTTAAATTTTAAATTAAACATAATTATTAAACTTTGCCTTATTTTGACATAGATGGATAGCCGTAATCACAATGACAACAATGTTTACAACCTTCGACCATTCCTTGATAAGGATAGGTTGACAGGGGAGAACTT